TTATTTTGATCGGTGTCCGAGGGCTCTTTTCTCGAACGGTCGGTGCGATACCTGTTATTTTCTTTCGATCATTTTGTTTTCTTTTTCCGAGTGGTTTGTACCCTATTTTTGTTTTTTTGGTTTTCTCGCGGCGTCGTATGTGCCGGGTTTTGAGACCACGGGCTCCCCATTTTTTGTGGACTATAGAGCTAATGTGAGAAACAACAACAACAACAACAACAACCCACGCAATCCCATGGCGAGTTTCAGCATCAAAGCCGCCCTGGCCGCGGCAAGCGCCCTCCAGAGCACGAATCAGGCCATGAGCGCCAACCTTCGAGATGCGCTGGCGGGAGAGTCGGAGGATGGGTGGTCAGACGAAGTGGAGGAGGAGGAAGATTTCGGCCGGTGTGACCGTGAAACGAGGGAGCGCCCGGACTACAGCTCGAGTGCATGGGGCGTACGACTGGCAAACTTGGAGCGCCTGCGGATCGCCGGCAGGCTCGTCCCCTCCAGCAGGGAAGCGAAGGCTTTCCGCTCGGACTTTCAGGGTTCCGTACGAGTTTTTCCGGCACTTCGTCGACCTCGTCAGGACCGTCTTCCCGACTGCTACCCGCGACGTTGCCGGGCGCCAGTGTGTTCCCTTGGAGCTCAAGGTAGATGCGCTTGACGCTGGTGATCGGTTAGAAGCAGCAGCAGTCGGGCCTTTTAGATCCCCACCATGTATGTGGGTTCGGTAGAGGTCGCAAAGCTTGGCGGTAATATGTTCCGTGCGCGTCTGCACGCTGTCTCATCGGGTGGCACGTGTTGTTCGAAAAGATCGTTTACTCTCTCCGCAGCAGCCTCTTTCCGCTACGCCCGAGCAAAGGCGTGGGCGGAAGCCGTTGTCGGCAGCCTCTGCCTCTTCTAACTACTGCTTGCTGTATGTATTGTGCAGCAACCAAGGTTTTGCAAGGCGTGTTATTTTTGGGCCTATTTTTTTAGTGAGTTTCAACACATGCGGCAGCGGCTACCTGCCCTCTGCGTTAGCACGCGCCTTGCTACATACGAACCTGCCGCAAAGCTGGCATTTCTCTCTAGGGTAGCAGGGTAAGACCCTAGGTTACTGGTATTGTAGTAGCAGTGATACATGGCCTTGCTGTTGTAGATTATGTATCAGATCTACAGCGTATCCTTTTACAAGCAGTGAAGGGTTTCATGTCCCTTTCATGTTGCTTTCACGCCCCCCCGCCGAAATGCCAATGTGACGTGCGTGGGTATTTATCCTCTGCTCCAGCAGATTGTCAAAAACGCGGTTTGCATCCGCTGTCCAACCGTGTTTTTTGTTCGGGCCGATTAGAAAAGGCGTGACGCAGCGGCGTTACGCCTGTGCTTACACACAGCTGTGTCGTTCCAACGAGATGTAGTCACTTTGACTTGTGCACAACCTGAGACAGGCAGAGAACCCGCCGCGACCGGCAAAAGAACACGGCACCTTATTTCCTCATCTCAACACCTAGCCGAGCACCTTTTCCAAATATCTTCCCATGGGAGTCCATCGACGCGAATACCTAGGTGCCATGTGGCGGGGGGAAATGCTGGGGAAATGCTCGGAAAGCGCCGCGGCAGTAGCAGTAGTGGCTTGCGCAGGCGTGGCCGAAAATTGCCACTGCAGGAGTTTTTCGACACGTCTTCCCCCCTCACGATTGTCATGAATGACGGGCGGCATCTACGCAACACGCGAGAGCACTGATGTCGTAGCTGCCCCCACCCCTTCCTGTAAATTCCTTTCCTGTAGCTTTGGTGCGCGTGCGTCGTGAAACAGCAGCAGCATATGTACGATGATGCTGGCTCGCATCCCCGACCTTATTTCTGTGGTATGTTATTCGGGCCCGCCCGAGCACGTCACACCTGGTTAGGCTGGCATGTCAAAACATAACTGCGCTACCTTCCGCTCATATCGCAAGCAACCCTCTCCAATCTAAACACTCTGCCCTTCCTGTACTTCAAGCAGGTGCTGGGGGTGCTGCAAGTCTTGGGAAGAGGGAACTGCTTCGCGGATGTCGCTCAGCTCTCTCTCATGAGCCGGCAAACGGCGGAGAAATCGTTCCACCGGTTCTGCGACTGCTTCTCATCGGGGTTGTGGCATCAGTGGGTGACGCTGCCGGAGGGGGAGGTTCTCAAAAAGGTCGCGGGGGAGTACGGCGACATGGTATGTCCGGGGGTGGTGGCTTCGGTGGACTGCACCCACATTTCCTTGCCGGCCTGTCCTTTCTCGGAGACTAACACCCACAAGGGCAAGGAGGGTTATACGACCCTCGTGTACGAAGCGTCCTGCGACCACTCTGGTCGCATCCTCTCGTCAACGAAGGGGTTCCCTGGGGCTGAAAACGACAAGACCGTGGTTAAGCGCGACTTGTCCGTACTTCGAATGCGGGAGGAGGAGCCTTGGGCGCGCTACAAGTTCGTTCTCTTCGACCTGGAAGGCAACACTACGGAGCACACGGGAGGATGGCTGATCGTGGATGGGGGGTACCACCGGGTGAGTTCCGTGTGGGTGTCGTACATGGCGAGTGTGCAGACTACGAGGGAAATATGTACTGGTACGTAGGTAGGTCGATGCTCAGAAAGAGGCATAGGGTATCAACATTGACTGCGAAGGTGACAGCATTGTGCTTGGTGTGTCTTTTCAACGTCTTGTTGGCCGGTCTTGGAGGCCATTCATTTGTTGTCCGGGAAATGCTGTTTGCTGGGATTGCGCTTAACACCAACCCCAATTTTCCATGAAGTGAAAACCCATCACCAACAGAAATTGGTAGCCCGGTCCACCTCTGCCGCCGTTATAGGCTTGATTCTCACTCGGAGGTGATGAAACGGGAACGTACATGCGCCCTTCATGTTGGAGCCGAAGAT